CATAACTAGGGGTAGGTGAGTGGGGCAGCATCCTGACACTAATTTAGAGGGGCTACCAGAAAGTTGGCCCTGGGAAGCCTGTGCCATAGTAGCAGCAGCTGGGGTCAGGTAAGGCTCTCTGACATTTCTGCCCAGGGGGCAAACTTCGTAAATATGTATCTGATTCAAATCTTCCAGCAATGAAATTCAGAGTGATGTAATGCCTAACAGTTAGGTTCCCGGAACCTACTGGAATCCTTAGCCCAGCATTAGGTGTCCAGGCTGCTTATACCATCTGTAGAGATCATTAGGCATCTAAGGAATGGATCCACAGAAATTAGACAAGTAGGGAGCGGGCTAAGCTAATCAGAAGTGAAATGCAGAGCAATGGGATGAGACAGGATTTACTAGCTGATTGGTCAAAGACAGGCACCCTTCAGTCAGGGTCCTGGATTGTGCCTACATTTCTGGACTTAGGTGAACTTTCTGTGAAAAAATGAGAGGCTGCAGTAGCCTAGTTAGTAGAGTGCTTCTGTGGTATATGGGAGATGTGGGGACAGGCTCCTGCTTTACCTCATGTTTCATAGTCCAGTAGAGTGCCATAACCATGAGCCCACTGGGTGTTTTAGGATGGGTCTTTCTCAGTATCTCCCGTTTGAACTGTTCCATAAGTTTAAACAGCTAAATATTCGTTAAAAGAGATAACTTGAACCTCAGCCATATCTCGGACCCTAACCAGTGCTCTAACCATTGGCCATGGAGTAAATCTTTCTCTTTCTTACCAGTCTAATAATACGCAGTTATTTATGGAAAGAGGAGCAGTTCCAGCAGGAGAAGTAGGAGCGTATCCTGGGGATGTGGGCACTCACCTGAAATGTAGGAGACCTGGGTTCGAATCTCTGCCGCAGACCAGTATTTTGAATATGGGTCTTCCACACTGCAGGCAAGAGTGTGCCTTAACCTTAGGCTAGTCTACAATGAGAAGGATGCTGGCTCTGACTTGAGGCAAAACAGTCAAGAGATCACTTCTTTGGTGTGTCAGGGCTCGAGTGGTATTTCAGCTGTGGGGCTGTGTCTGCTTACAGGACTTTGTGAATATGCACTGCTCAAAGCTTGAGAGGGTTAAGTGACAGCTGAGTGGTGGTTGAGGATGTCACTGGTGCCTATAAAAGCATAATACATTCTTAAGTAATTTTTGAATACTAGGCTCTTTGGCTTAACATTACAAATCTTAGGATCTCCACTGAGCTCAATGGATATTTATCAGGTGCATGAAGCTAACTTGTGCATAAATTATTGCAGATATTGGGCCTTTGCCCTAACATCCTGCCCTAATCAACTTGTGCTTACTGTGTGACATCATTCACCTGCTTTGTTCATAGGAAATTATAGATTTTGGTAACTTGCTGGGAGATTGTGAACCTTGCAGCTTGCTAAAAATTACTGATGCATCAGTGAGGCGTCTGCTGCATGTACACGTTATGTAGATTCCAAGTATCATATAACTTCCTATTCTTACCAACTTGAACTAAGTGAGCCACTTCTCCATTACCATACATATTATTAACAAAAAGAACTGTCCAAGGAGCTTGACATGCTCTTTCTTGTTCAGTGTGCTAGTCAGAATAGCAATCAGTGCCAGTGAAGATCTATCTTCTTCTGGGCTACAGGTGGGATTGACTCCTTTAGCAGTGGCAGCAGTCTCACTATCCAACAGTCAGGTTCAGGGAAATCCACTCTGTTCGGCAGTGTTGAAAAGCTCTGATTCTGCAGTGGACTGAAAACAGATGAAGCTCTGATTCAACGAAGCCCTTCAGCACAGGATTAACTCCCTTTGAATACAATGGACATAAAACAAGCTTGAACTTGTGTTAAAGGGGGACTTATCGGTAGGTGTAAAGTGAAGTGCTTTGCTGAGTCAGGGCATGAGAGTTGATGGCAGTGGGGGACAATAAAATCATTCAACTTTTCTTAATTTTCTTGTTATTCCCTGAACATGTATGGTAATTATTAGAAGAACAGTGTTGTTTCAAAATTGTTATTTAAAGGAGATGGGGCATTTTTATTCTTAGTTGTCCTTACTGACAAACACTGCACAGACAAAGAGAAGGGTTAAAATTCTAGGGGTAAACCATGAACGGTAGAAGCTGATTGGTACCACTGTTGGCCGTGGAGCTTGCACCTTGCTTTTATTTGTTTGCCAGCTGATGATGGACTCCCTTGTGTCCTCTGTGATATTGTTCACATTTTAACACTAGGGAAGCATTGAAAGTCTTGTTTGTACAAGTTGGTATGCTAGCCTGCTTACCATTCGTGCACTCTTACTAGTTCCCTGTGCATTTATAATTTTCTAATTATGTTATACTGTTTGGCTATAGTCTTTGAAACAGAAAACTTCTTGAACTCCAGAGTTCAGCTAGACTTGGGCTAACCCCCGTCTATTATGGAATGCTACTATTGGAGGTGGAGTTTTTGGATGAGACACAGAAACAGACTCTGCTCTCTCACGGCCATTGATTAGCTCTGGTTGTCTGGCAAAATTCCACTTTGAGTAATTGGCCCATTGCTTCTATCGTGTATGATTAATATCGGTAGATCTGTTTCTTTCCTATCTTAAATCATGGTTGTGGTCTGTTAAACGTGGCGACTGCTTGACTGTTGCACTTGAGGGTTGGTCAAAATAACTTCATAATTTATTATGCCTGTGTTGTATGTGTGTGTGTATATAGCTATTACTTTACCCTAGATAAAAACTATTTTTAAAAGGAAGTTTAGGTGGTGTATACAGATAGGCTATGTTACAAATGTCTTGTAATTATTTTCAAACCAAGTGTTATAGATGCAAGAAATTCAGACATAAAGGAAAGCCCAGTGTGCTAAAGTATGGCAAACCAGAGTTATGATACCATGTGTGAATCTTCACTTTTCCCTGAACAGGGGGCAGATCCAGAGTGGGTACAGCAGTGCAACTGCATCGTGCTTTGCTTGTGCTGCCCATGAACTTTCGTTGGCTTGCACGCAGCTCCTCTAGAGCCCAGGGGGTGAGTGCTCCTGCCACCACTTGCCCCTTCTTTCCCCTGCTGCTGAATTCAGCAGGGAGGGATAGAAAGAGGAAAGCTGACAGCAGCAGCCTCTAAAGCCATATGAAACCAGGGCCTCCAGTTACACCTCATCCTGATCAACTGGTGAGCTTGGAGATCACTGCTCACATGGAGGTCTGGCAGGTGCCTACTGTGACCAGTCAGTGAGCTCATAGCTTGCTGTGCAGGCAAAATGGGGGTGAGAGGCTGCATTCACCTTGAACCTGGTTCTGCTATTGCCCCTGAAATGATAACATGAGAGGAGAATAGTTTTGTAAAATCTCAAAGTGTCTCTAAAAATCAGTTCAAGCTAAATTACCAGCCAAACCACTGAAAAACCTGAATCATCCCCTTCCCCACTCTCCCACCCACAAGTCACTGTAGGTCAGAATTAACCTTATTCCTAATAGAGAAACTTTCAGTTATGAAGAGCTGGGGGAAGGGGAACATTGTTATTAATGTGCATATTTAAATACTAGCCTGTACACCAGATTTCACTGTGCTTTATCTATATGGAAAAGTTGAAGTCAGTGACTGGGCATAGTTAGTGCTGTGTGGGGGTGATACCTGCATCTTCACACCCTGGTATGTTTGAATTCTTTTTTAAGGTTAACTTTAATGCTGAGGGTTTATAATGGTTGGTTTCAGGTAATGATTGTAATTTATCCTAAATTACTAATATATAGTCTCAACTTCAGTCAAATGTCAAGTAGCTTTTCCTTGTATTTTTTAATAATGAAAAGCCTGGGAGCAGTAAATGGAAAACCCCAGTGAATGCTGCCATCTGACGTTACTAACAGTTTAAAGATCTGAACCTTAAATCTCATCCTGAAGTAATTTATTTTTTATGGTTGGTACAGTCTGGTGTTTTACTTCACGCTGGAGCAAGACAAAGCAGCCACAACATATGGACCAGTTAAACTGGGTTTCCAACTGCTTTGTCTTGCCAGAGCAGTGCAAAGCACCCACCACGGTTTCCCCTTCACTCCTCTGTTCCAAATTCCCTTTTTACCACATTTCATTCCCTTGGCCACACACGCCCCAAATTTCTCCCAGCACTTGCACCTCTAACCTTGGTGTCTTTGTTAAAGTCCAGTCTGGGTTATTACATTATGTCTAGCTGCACTTACTCTGTGGGAAATCCTTGCTCATTTAGGTCAGTGGCCAGTCTCCCATTGACTGAGATTGCTTGCTGTGTACTTTGACTTGATTATCATAATCTTCACACCTTGTCCTAAACTGTTTTGCAGTATTACCACATGCTGGTTGAATGCTTATAAAGGCAGTTAATAAAAACTAGCTAAATTTACACAGAAGTCAAACGTAATTCATTCAAATAGTATCTTTGGAATTATTTTTGCAGCACTTGCCTTTGAGTTCACCAGGTGCTTTGAGATCCATCTGGATTCAAGATGTTTCATAGATCCCCAAACCTATTATTACCAGTGTAACATGACGCGTAAGGGATGACCTTCTCCCTTATATCCCATCTCAGTCTGAGAGTCATCTCCTGCAGGAACCATCTGTGCACCAAGTTCATTTGACCAAAACACACGGGAGGTTGTTTGTAACAGGTTGTCCTTTGCTCTGGGATCCCCTTATGGCCCAGCAGAGCCCAAGTCTCAAGCACAGATTTAGCAAGCAAGGTTAAGTTGAGGTATTCTTAGAGGAGTTTGGTTACTAAATATTATCTTATTGAAATATTATATTTGTTTGTATAAGCTATTCAGTCTTTTATTATAAGCTGCCCTGAGCCTTTTTGGGGAAGTGGCATGTAGATCAAATAAATAAATAAAATAAAATAGTTAATAATGGAAATAAAAAGTTAACTTAAACCTTGTTCCCAGCAGTGCCGAGGATCACTGTTACAGGGAGACATGTAGATATGAGCAGTTCTTTGCAATAAGCAAAATAAGTATTTTGCTATTTTCTGTTGTTTAGACAAATAGGAGAGAATTTGATTGTTCCTGGTGGTGTAAAGACCATCGAGGCTAATGGGCGTATGGTTATTCCTGGAGGCATTGATGTCAACACTTACCTACAAAAGCCCTACCAAGGAATGACTGCTGTTGATGATTTCTATCAGGGCACCAAAGCAGCTCTAGCAGGAGGCACCACCATGATCAGTAAGTATTAAAATACCAGCTCTTCCCAACTGTGGCTGAGCAGAGCCTGCTATTTTCTGCTCATACCTCCTTCCCTGGTTTTAGCTGCAAACACTCCATGCAGTTCTTCTGCAGGACGTGTTTTGAGAACACATCCAGTTCTGCGCTGGAAATCCACCGAGTGCTGGGTACAAGCTTCCCAGGGTTGCCGTGTGAATGAAGATGCCTTTAAGGAGAAGTAGCAGTACAGAGTGATGTCTTCTGGATTTCCCTCTCAAGGAAATAGTTGAAGCGCTGTTGAAAGTATTAAAATGGAAACCACTTTGAGTCATTCCCAGTCATTGTAAATGATTAAATCCTGTTATTATTTGGGTTGGTTGAAGGGGAGTGGCTATTTTTGTTGGATAATATTTTGTTTTTATTAATATATGTAATGATCCAAGAGTTCATGGCAATCAATGCTGAATATATTGTTTTTCATCTTTATTGGTTAATAATAGCAAGGCTTGTTTTTTTAGTATATTTTCTTCAGTTAGGGTCCTAAGTATCTTTCAACCTATTGAGAGATTCTAGGTCTCGATTTCTATTCTTGTTCTAGAGTACAAAAGTGAGTCTCTCTCATCATATAATATGTTACAGCAAAGAAGGCATTCTTCTTAATATCTTTTTTCCTAGGTTCTTGTATACTTTCATGCAGAGATTTTTAATAGGTGATCCACTGTAATTAATGGAAAGCTTAACTGCAATAAGAGCATTCTAATTTGCACTAGCCTGCTAGTTTAGTTAATCAGTTTGGAGGTGAGAATGGATTTGTTTTTGCTTAACAGTTAAAAAATTGTGCTTTATTTAATGAGGTGTATTTCCTTATAGTATCTAGTAAATGTGGCTGTTGGAACTTTTTAAAGATTTCTGATGTATATTGGAAGTACTTGTCTTGTTCAAAACTGTTAACTGTATAATAAAAAAACCCAAAGCCTATGAATTTAGTTATGCACCATAAAATTCACAGATGTCACCATAAAACTCTTTATGCTGTGCTGTATTACTCACCTAGGATCCACGGTTGCAAACATAAGTATGAGTAACACATCATTAGTGCAGTTTGGTTCAGTTGGACCCCTCAGCTGTTCAAAGGTAGAGAAGTCCAGTGTTTAGACTAGGGGTTTCAAACATATGGCCCATGAACTGGATCTAGCCCACAGATCCCCATTCAGCCCTTGGTGCTGTCCCTGGGTCTGATCAGACCCATATGGGGCACAGTGTGTGCCCATGGCTCAAGGTCAGTCTGTGAGCTAGATCCGGCCCATGCTGCCCCTCCCATCCCTCTCCCCTTTCTCCTCCCCTGCCCCCGGCATACTTGATCCAGTGGGACTCATGCAGCATGTGGTACAGATCCCAGAGTGCCTGAAACAATGCTATATGTAGCTCAGTCCAGTCAGAGTGACCACAGTGCTGCATGTATACCCAGCTGGACTGCGGCACACATGGTGCCTGCCTCTGCAGCTCTGGGCCTGTACCACACTCAGTGCCTGCTCCGGGCAGTTTGGGACCCATGCTGCCCATGGCACCTGCAAATGCTGTGTGTAGCATGGGTCCTAGACTGGATGGAGCAGGTGCTGTGTGTGGCACATGTCTCAGAGAGAGTGCTGTGTATAGGGCAGTTCAGCTGGGATGGTCAGAACATGCAGCGTGGCTGCCTCTCCAGCTGGACTGCATTGCATATGGCACCTATTATGGCTGCTTGCAGCGTGGATTCCAGACTGACTGGAGCAGCTGCTGGATCAGGTATGCTGGAGGAGGAGGAGGGGAACAGGAGAGGGTCCATGGGCCCAATCAGGCCTGCAGATAGGCCCCATGCCACTCATCTGGCCCTATGGGACCAGATGAGTTTAACATTGGTAGACCAGATCTTTCATAGATTCATAGATGCTAGGGTCAGAAGGAACCTCAGTAGATCATCGAGTACAACTCCCTGCCCTGGGCAGGAAAGAGCACTGGGGTCAGATGACCCCAGCCAGGTAGACATCAAGCCTCCTCTTAAAGACCCCCAACGTAGGGGAGAGTACCACCTCCCTTGGAAGTCCATTCCAAATTTTGGCAACCCTTACTGTAAATAAATTCTTCCTGATGTCTAACCTAAATCTGCTTTCCACCAGTTTGTGGCCATTGTCCCTAGTTACTCCAAGGGGTACCCTGGTAAACAGAGCATCTCCTATTTCTTTCTGCCCACCCCCGGTTAATTTGTAGGTGGGTAGAGTCAGAGATTCATGGATTCATAGAAGTAGGGTCGGAAGGGACCTTGTAGATCATCAAGTCCGCCCCCCTGCCTGGGCAGGAGAGAAAACTGGGCTCAAATGACCCCAGCCAGGTAGACATCAAGCCTCCTCTTAAAGACCCCCAGGGTAGGAGCCAGCATCACTTCCCTTGGAAGTTGGTTCCAGATCCTAGCCTCCCTGACTGTGAAGTAGTGCCTTTGGATGTCTAGTTTAAACCTACTCTCTAACAATTTGTGGCCATTGTTCCTTGTTAACCCAGGGGGCGCTGGGGGGAACAGGGTCTCTCCCAAACCCTGCTGGTCCACCCTGGTGAGTTTATAGATGGCCACCAGGCCCCCCCCCACTCAGCCTTCTCTTGCATGATCCCCTCTTAGCCTTCTCTTGCAGAGGCTGAAGAAATCCAGGTCCCTCAATCTCTCCTCATAGGGCTTGGCTGGCAGGGCCTTAACTATATGAGTGGCCTTCCTCTGGACCCTCTCCATGTTGTCCACATCCCTCTTGAAGTAAGGCGCCCAGAACTGTGGCCTGACCAATGCCACATAGAGGGGAAGTATCACCTCCCTGGACCGGTTCATCCCAGAAGTTTATTCAGATCTTAGTATTTAGGCAGGGCAATGCTAAGGGATGCAAAGCTTAACTCTTACCCTGCTGCCTAATGGGATTCTCAGTCTTGAGTTGGGTGTCTAGGCTCCTTACACAGTGCTTGGGAGAGTGGGATGAATCCTCAGATGAATCCTCAGAAACCAGCTGAGCTGGGGTTACCTGCTAGGAGAACATTCAGTCAGAAAGCCAGTGAGGTTCAATGGCTAAGACTTTGTCTTTTACAGTAGAGCCCTGGGCTTTATCCATCTCTGCCTGAAGAGACCAACCTTAATTGATTGGTAAGGTGGAGCAGAATAATTCTAGAATATATATTTAGGAATTGGTTAATAATTAGAACTACAAAATCCATAGAAATATAAATGGCAGTGAGTTAAAACCAGACCTCCTGGCTCCCAGCTCAGCACATCTTGTCTGAGTTTCATGGTGTTTGGATTTCTCTTTCGTGTGTGCAGAACATTCCCTGTGTGGATGGTGTCACAAGCAGGCTTCAGATTTCACTTTAATGTAGGTGCTCCACACAGTCTCCTGTACTTGAAGTAGACAGATCCCTGACTGAGATTCCTGTTTTGTCATGGGAAGTACATGGATAATCATAGGTGCCAAGGAACATGAAGTATATGCATTTTATGTAACGGGTAATCCATCCTTATTTCAGTTGACCATGTCCTCCCTGATCTTGGATCAAGTTTGTTGACCTCATTTGAAAAGTGGCATGAAGCAGCGGACACCAAATCCTGTTGCGATTATTCTCTGCATGTAGACATCACTAGCTGGTATGATGGGATCCGAGAAGAGCTGGAAATACTGGTGCAAGATAAAGGTTAGTTAATTAAAGTAAAATTTTAATTTTTTTTTATCTCGGCAACCTGCAGATGCTGAATTCTGAAGTATTCCAGAGAGACCACAAAAGAGGCTCATAGTATTTGATACCCTGGCCAAAGTTCTCTGCTACCCAGAACCTTTGTAGTCCTTTCTTCCCATGCAGCGTAGTCCCGATATTGTACATGCCAGTGTTATCAGGAGTATTGGAAGCAATACATTTTTATTGGTACAGATGGAGAAGAATTAGAATCTACTAGGATAAAATGCCATTTTACACTCACTTCCAATAATAAAAATAATTAGGCACTGCATAAAATAGCATAACCAGGCCTTGTATGCAAAAGTTAAAGATTCACATTTTGTGCTGCAAAGCCATCATCATGAGCTACCCGTCATTGAACAATGTCAAGGGGTACTTGCTAAACTTGCTTGTTCATATTTGAAAATACAGTACCCACCTCTTCTAGAAGTACATTGGGTTAATACTATCAGTCTGCTGTAAGTAAGGTGGAAAAATCATGTAGTACATCTCAAATGATGGTATACTCCTGATTTGTGCTGTATTTTTCCATGCCAGGACTTAGCAGCAGTCAAGCTTAGAGTAGCTGTTGCCCAAGGGTTCCTGTCTCTTGTTTCCCCGCTCCTGGCTGAGGTAGGAAGGTAGTTTGAGTACTTTGTGGAGGTAGTGCTGCTCACAGCAGAGAACACATTCAGATCCCTTTTGTTTTACCATTCCTATAGATTTGAATGGCAAAAGCACAGATTATTAAGTGTACCAGCTATTTCAGACAGATTCAGCTGTTCATACCTCATTAAGGAGCAGTGAAAGTGGCTACTTAAACTGCTACTTGCTCTTTAATGAGGTGTGAACAGCTGAGTCTGACAGAAATAGTTGGTGGGATTCATATAAATAATGTCTTTGACATTTGAAATCTATGGGAATGGTTAATGCTATATATCTACTGTTAGTGGTGGAGAACTGCATATAGTTACATTTCAGATTGAGAGCCAAGATTGTTAAAAATTGAGTCTAAAATTAATTTCCTAAATCTACATTGTGGCATTAAACAGTGGCCAGATTTTCAAAACTGCTGGGGACTCAGCAGCTCCTATCAAAGGTAGCAAAAGCTGCTGAGTGTTCAGTGCTCAAGAAAAGCAGATTATTTAGGCAGTTCCCGGAGGGGAGGTTGTGGGTGGCTGAACCTTTCAGATGGGCTCACCTGCTTCTTGATGTGGTTTCTGGATGGAAGCCACCGCTTTGGCAAGGGTCCAGAATCCAAGGGGAGAATTGCTGTCTCC